ACAGCAACAGCAACAGCAACAGCAACAGCAACAGCAACAGCAACAGCAACAGCAACAGCAACAGCAACAGCAACAGCGACGACAACAACAGCAACAGCAGCAGCAGCAACAGCAGCAGCAACAGCAGCAACAAAGGCTACCAGCACGCCAGATCAAGCTTACGAGTCAGCTGAAGAAGTATTACCAACAGGTATTGCGGGCCCCTGATGTAGAAAGCAATGAGGAGTTTCCGAAACTTCCAGGAAAAAGCCATAAACTTCGCGATCTAATAAGCTTATTTAACTCTACTTACCAAAACTTCGAAGTTGCACACAATTTTGGAAACCATAAGGAGAAAAATAAAGCGTTGTTCTTGAACGGGTTGATTCTGGATGAAATTGCCAGAAAACACAGCAGAACACGAGGAATAGGAAGCAGCTGTCTAACAGCTTATAAGCGGGCGGCAAGAAAATATTATCAATTTGCCCGGGAGTTTGGTAATGTTAAGATTTTGAACGAGCCGTGTTCGCATTACGCATTTGGCTCCGTAAGTGAGGAAGTCTTCGAAGCATTTCTCGAAGAAATGCATGATAATGATACAGATGTTGGGACGGACATAAAGGGAGAGGGTGGAAGTGAAGATTGTGCTAGCTCAGCAGAGGAAGGAGAAACTGAAGAAGATGAAGATGATAGTAGCGTAGATATGACATTACATGATTCCTATTAGATTCTTTCTTATTGATATTACCTGCTGATAATTAGATACATTCCGGCGATTCGATGAAATAACGACAGCCGAGTTTGTTTGATGTAACTGCTTCAAACGTTATTTATATATATACATGCAAAAAGTGATGCATTTGAAATAAATAGAATTGCATAACATGATACCTACACAATCACCATAAACAATGTCATTTTGAACAGGTGTACCACAGATTAATGCAGCAACTTTTACAAACAGGGAAATCAATTGTGTTATAAATGGAATACCTTTGATTGTAGAGAATTGGTATAAGAGAAAGGAATGGTGAAAAGATATATTTTCATTAGAGCTAATGTTGCTCATATGGGTAAGAATTGGTCTGGGTTGGCTTGGAATTGGTTTGGATTGATTGAAGCAAGGGATTTTATTATATGCTGCAAGGCTTGGAGGGGACCCATTGTTTCATCACACGACTTAAGCATTTTATATACATCATCAGAGAGCAGCTGCTTTATTGTCAACAGTGTAGTTTAACAAATTAATTCAATGAAACATACGACTCTAGATAGTTTTCTTGCAAATTAAGTTTATTATATTCTGTCAGTTCGTGTGCTCTAGGTCCTTTTGATAAATCAAAGCCCAGCCCGCCTGGGCCGACTTATTGATTTTGTGTGTCCTTTATTATTATTAAGCACAGCTAAGGAGGCTGAGGTTGACTATGTAATTGCAACTACCTGTTGCTGGAGATCCTTCACGAATGGAGATGTGGTTGTTAAATGTTAGCATTAGAGAGTAGAATAACAGGAAGCAAAATTTTAAATATATTATCGCGATTTTACATAATGTCGACCGACTTATCGAGGGACCGACTTATCGAGTCTGCCTATGTACCGTATATGCCAGTTCTATTAAAAATATGCGGATATCACGTGAAATAGAGTTATAACGGAGTCCAGCCAATCAAATTGTACCAAATTAATTGATTTATTCGCGTGTAAACCCTTTCTCCGAATGAACGAAATCAAACTATGAGACCCAAAAAACACAAAATATCTAACAATCCATAGCGAATTACTTTGTCAGGCGTACAGAAAAAAGAATTATGTAAAATGAAACAAGATAACCCAAGCTTGACAGGTGTACAATTTGGAATAAGTGAGCAATCTGTTCCGTTGGTTGAATCTTGATGATGGTTCTGCCATGGCTCAAATTAAACGTCAAGGAAAGGTTAATTATCCTAATATTGAAGAAGCGATGGGTCGAACGTGCAATTTGGAATGGACTTACCATTACTCCTTCAAGTAAAAGCGAAAGAATTTGCCGATCGGTTTGGACTGCATGTTGGATTACAAACTTTAAAAGGAAAAACTCTCTTTCTTCATATCGGCGCAGAGGAGAAATCGGCAGTGCATATTTACAAGATATTCCACGTTACTGAGATGAACTTCAAAACCTTCTTCAGAATTATGAACTCAAAAATATTTTTGAGCCAAGCAAGACACTTGCCTACGCTCCTGTTTTAGGAAAGAAAAAATCAAAAGATCGAATTACTCTTTTGATTACTAGTAATGCTACCGGCGATGAAAAATTACCTCTTGTCTTTGATCACAAATACGAAACACCGTGTGCACTTTGTGGCATCGACAAAGCCATTCTTCCTGTCTAGTATTATTGGGGTGGATGCAGAGAAGCATTTTTAATCATTTTTTACAACGATTTAATGAACAGATGAGGCATGCCCAACGAAATATTATTCTTCTCCTTGACAATGCTTCGTTGCATAATGCAGAAACCATTCAAAATCTTTCTAACATTATGTACACTTTTTACCGCCCAATACAACGTCTTGCCTTCAACCCATCGATCAAGGAATCGGTTACAGTCTCAAAGTAAATTTCCCATATGAACTTTCACTTTATGAACTGCAATTGAATTAACTTTTATCGTATTTTCCTGTAGGCACAATATCGACGCATTTTATGTCAAAACCGTCTTGATGCTTACGATACTATTACTGAAGAAAATCCAATTCCCTCTGTCATTATTATATATGATGCAATTAACTTTGCAGCTCGTGGATGGGAAATTGTTACGGCAAATACAATTGTTTGTAGCTGGAATAGGGCTATATTCTTCCTTCAACGGCAAACAATCTTGATTCTACACCCGAGGAAAGTGAATATTGTCAATCCTACTACTATCACCAACCAACCTCCACCAACCATCACCATTGATATCGGTCTAGATATTATGTTACCAGCTTCAAATAGAACACAATTAGAAGCGATTCAACACATTGTAAAAGGTGTGAAAGAAGTAACACGCATCTTAAACGACAATAATTCCGAGAGTATTCCACATCCTCTTAATATTGAACTGAAGAGATTTTATCACCAATCGATGATCCTTTGTCGAAATAGATGATTTGAAGAAAGGGTGACTGTAGATGATATCATAGAAGTGATGAACGAACAGGGCGGATGTGAATCAGAAGAGGATAGAGAAATGGAGGTTAAACCAATGATGCGATTATCGGACTCGATAATGTGGTAAAATACACTACCCGGACAAAAGTATCGGACCCTCTAACTTTATTAATTACTCGAAATTATACATAATAAACGAGGCAGAA